AGGGTAGTTGCACGATGGAAAAGTTTTAAAGAATCTTCTTGATACTCGGTTTTTTTTTTTGGATCTGTATCGGATTGTGGATCACGGGGACGAAATTTTATGTTCAGACTCGCCGCTGTTAAAACCCTTAAAATCTTATGTCTCTCGTTACGTAAGAAATCTCATCGACGTGGGAATAATATCTAAAATTCTACTCTTACGTTTGAATGTTTAGGTTAGAGACGTTATAAAATGCGTTTGACAACAAAATTCTCTGAACTTAATAGTCCTTTTCGACATGGAAATTCCATTAATTTTAACTTTATTCATCCTGTCGTTTCCAGTCTTCTGTCCAGCCTCTCCCCTGCGTGTAGCGAGCGTAATGGACCGCTGTGCTAGCCTCTGAGGGCCCCCTCGAGCGTCCATGTCTCCTCTGGCCGGACAATCTTTCAGTCCGAAGAGGTCCTCGTAGCTTACAAAGTGCAGACGGGTTGCGTTAAGTACCCATTCAGTTCTGAAGTCGGCTGATGAAAGCAATGGCTTCGTTCTGTACATCATGACAAATAAAAAGGACATCACGAAGAGTGATTTGGAGTTTCTGTGATTTTTAAAACTGCCCCACGTTTACAAATTACGTGCAGACAACGGGACAGCCAAGCTGTTGTTTCGAAATTATAAGTTGATGAAGATAAAATTTGTGAACGTGTCATTTTAAGAGTTCGCTTTTCGTTGGGTTTATAATATTCGTTCACATAAAATGGGGGACGAACAAAGACTCTGTGGGAGACCCGCCATGTGTATTTATCCGCGTGATTGTGTTTTGGGTCCGTACGATGCACTGACACAATACATTCCATTCGAAGATATTTATCTCTTCTCAGGATGGCATGTTCACGGATTAAAACCTGCCCTATCGCTTATGATTCAGTTTACGAGGTGTTCCTGATTAAATGGCGAAGGCAGAATACTATCGTGTCCAATTTCTTCTTTCGGAGAGTTGACGTAATATTATAGCAGTCTGACACTGACCGGGATTCAAATGAGAGATGGAAAATTCTGGAATAAGTCACGTGAGAATTAGACGGGCGAGTGCAAAATCTGGTATGTAATTCGATGTATACGCAGAAGAAATTTTATGTTTAATAAGCTCTACGCCTTTGGAAAAGGAAGGAGATTAAGAATTCAGAATGAAAAATAGGATAAAAAAACGTGGGTAAGGATGAAGGGAAAATATATACAGTTGAATAGATCGAAGACAGTCTCTGGTGCTTTTAAATTCCGTAAATTTCCCCCAAATCAAGCAAAATTAACCGACTAAAAGCCAGTACAAACCGAGAATTCTCTTTGACGTCTTCTCAAGAACAAACAGCTTGAACGACGTTTCTGAAACGTATTAATATCCAACCGTCGATCTGCCAATTTAAAGCAGAAACGTGCCGTGTGTCAGATGAAGGGAATAGTCCGCTGCGTTTCGGTTCTAGCAAGCGTCGCGCATTCTGGTGGCGAAATGTTTCAGAGACGCCAAAGGACGCCTTCCGTCGTATTGACTGGCAGTTCTAATTCTTGTGTGACGATATTAGCTCCTAATAACACAGAGTGACTCTAAAATGATATCGGTATTTATAATGAACACGTAGCCGCCATCTTCAATTGCCTTTAAAGCTGTTTCTCTGACCTTTGATATTAATAGGTTAGGTTCTCCTTTCATTGAGTCAAGTTGTTATTTCGTGTTTGGCTACACTGTAACTAATATGTTTTTTTCTCGTGATAAAGTTACATTTTCTGTGGCTTGCATAGATAAACATAATAGTAGTTCATTATGGGTGCGAAACATGGTCTCTCGCTCAGAGGGAGGAACACGGATTGCAGGTGTTTGAGAATCGGGTGTTGAGGAGGATATTTGGGCCTAGGAGAGAAGACGATGGGGCGTGGAGAAAACTGCACAATGACGAACTCAAAAATCTGTACTCCTCACCCAGTATTGTCAGGGTGATTAAGTCGAGAAGAATGAGATGGGCGGGACATGTAGCGCGCATGGATGGGGCAAGAGGTGTGCACCGGGTGTTGGTCGGGAAGCCTGAGAGGAAGAGACCACTGGGGAGACCTAGACGTAGATGGAAGGATAATCTCAGGCGGGAGGAAGCCTGAGGGGAAGAGACCTCTGGGGAGACCTAGACGTAGATGGGAGGATAATCTCAGGCGGGATCTATGGGAGATAGGAGTTGAAGGAGACTGGATTTTGTTGGCCCAGGACAGGGATTTTGGTTAGTTCGGTGATGAACCTTCGGGTTCGGTGAGCCATCTATTTAGTTAGTCAATAGTAGTTCGTAAAAAGAATATATTTTATACGGTATTCATATGAACATCCTACAAAGTGTGTGTGTGTATGTGTAGGGGATGGGGTGTAGGCGTGGAGTGGGGTCTCATATAGTCACTTGTCTTTATAATATCTAATATCCGGTACGTGTTGTTATTCAAGTCCAGCTTTCAAATTAGGATGCCTTGATAAACTTCATCGCAGTTTCAATATTTTATTTCTGTATACTTGTACAATTGTATTCGCCTTCTTGTCTGTTTGTATCGAAGTTGATTTTGATGTTATATGTCGCATTGTTATTAATGTTTTGTAATATTTTGACAAAAATTGTAATGTCTTCGTTGATACACGTAATTTTTGCCCATTTTTAATGTGTTTTTTTCGGGTCATGCTTTTGTTTTATTTATAATCACATTATAATTTTTGCAATAAAATTAAAAGTTTCGTGCTACTTGTGTATTTTTCAAGTGTGTTGAACAAATTTGATTCACGACTCTTCGGTCTGTAGTCCCTTTTTACGCTAAGTTACGGGTATAAGTTCACGTAAATCTCCAAAATTCATGAGACGCTGGAAATATATTTAAGCGAATTTCACAAAATATACGTCTGTCATCAAATGGCTTCTATGAAGTGAGCATGGATTTTTTTCCAATATACGACACTGATTACAAATAAGTCACGAAAATAATGACAATACTAATTAAATTAAATATTTCGATTGTTTTGTCAAAACTTCTGCAGTAGTCAAACGTTCCCGTAGCCCGTGATTCAGACTCGTTTTTCGTCATCTTACACTACCATCGATAGTTGATACAGAGCTGAGATGCCCTCGAGGTACGCTCAGCTCGACCCTTTGTGTGTCGCCACGTCCAGCGGCGAGTTAGGGTTTTTCGTGCTCGTCAAATCTCGCGGGTTCAAACCCGGTCGAGGTCGATGGATTTTCTAAGGGTGATAACTTCCTTTGGAAGGGAATTGAAGTCGTTTGTCCCATGTCGTAGATTTACGGCATGTAAAAAGAATCTTACGAGCATGAACGAGATGTTTCGTAAGCAAAATTCAGGGACCATTTCTCACCCAAGTCTCTCCTGATTCTCTACTAGATGGCTCTGGCAGTCTAAATCATGATTGGGTAGAAATTGTGTAGACTCAGTGGGCTGGTCACTTACTACTCGCAATCGCTCACTTCGAAGACTAAGAAACCTCTGATTGGAGGTAGCGAAAACCCATACAGGAAGAAGTTAGCTTCAGAATAAAGAGTACGATGTTAATGGAAGTGAATTATTGAGTACTTTAAAGAATTAATCCCATTGATTTGTGTGTGCTAGTATGTAGAGTTGTCTCTTATACGATCACAAGTGTGTGAGTATGTGGAAAGTATTGACAGTAGGTGGAAAGCTGTCTTTATTAATTATTTAAATGCTGATAGCTCTTCACGTTAAGCTGTGATGCGTGTGGAGTAAGGACGCATTTGTATTGTGTACGTTGTTTTATTATTAACCTCGTTACGCTATTTTAATTGTCCACTAGACGTTTCTGTGATTGATAAACTCCGAAGCCGTCATTCTCCTTGCAATAAATATTTAAACTCTCTTAGTGTAAATGGCTGTGACATGTATTGACTTGGTTCTGTGTAAAATACATTTGCATTCTGGCGTATAAAATGTGCCTGATGCCTGTCAGACACGTGTCTTTTTGTCGTTGATTTGTTGCTGTTGAATTTGTGTTCTGTTGGAGCTTTATATATTTTTTTCTCTGCTGTACGAAGTTTCGGATAATGTCAGAGGAGAGAGACGTTTTGAGCTTTGTTGGTTCTGTAATTGATTTTGGTGTCGTATTTATAAAAAAAATTCTTTTTGTCAGTTTTACAAATGTTATCAATTTGTATTTGTACTAAATTCGTTCAGACAGCATTACAGGTCCCAGTCCGAGAAAAGGATGGAAGGATCCTGTTCATATGGACCTGTCGTCAGACAGAACACTAAATAAATAAAATAAGTTCATAAATGATAATTGGCGAATACCACGTAGAAACATATGAATTCTTATACAGTAAATAAATATATCCATAGAGTAACTACACTTTTAAGGTTCCAAAATAATTAGCCTGTGGGTAGAGTTATCTTTCTTTCACGTTCGTTACCTTGGCAACAGTATTTTGGTTTGCAAGGCATGGAAAAGATGTATGGTCTGTTCCTTCTATTTCAAGATCTTATCCGGTTTCTTCTTAATTACATTCCTCTCAGTTGGTATTACTGTATCAATTAAGAGACAAGTTCCATTTTTGTTTCGGATTATAATATCTTTTTTTTTATTTAAAATGGTTCTGTCTGTTTTGACTTGTTGGTTCCACGAAATAATTAATTATAATTATTATTAGTTATCTTTCGCGGAGGCTGCACCCAAAATGGCGCTGTATCTGAAATTGTGTTCCATTTTATAAAGTGATTCGCACAGAAAGGACGTGTCGGTCTTCTTTACAAAATATTTTGCACGGAGAATCCACTAAGCTGTTGACTGCACCTGCAAAATTGCAAGTTCCTGTCTCGAGGTCATCCCACGCCCGAATTTGCGTTGTATCTGCAACCAGCGCTTCGTTCGACCACTGTAGTAGTTAGGCGACAGTGTCGAGCTCTGGCGGAGAAAATCCAGGTGCTTCTCGATGTTTCCATCAGCCATCTTGTTGTTTTGCGAACGTTCCCTTGTGCGGTGTTTGGTTTGAGTGCTCGGCGCAGTGGAAATGGACTCCGTAACTTCAGTTCTTCCAAAGGTTAGCTGTCGTTTGCATTTTATCCTGACTAATTGTTATTTTAATAATTACTTAGATAATTACTGCAAGATAATTCAAAACACAGTGTGTGACGTGTCGCCAGATATTTAGAACAAATCTTCTCGTGGTGTTACCAAGACCGTCCAGTCAATTAGATCATTGTAGCTGATTTCTATATCCCTTTAAATTTGCTTACAATCAGTTTACCATCTAACAGCTGAGGAAACATCGCTAAGGATCACTCGCGTATTCCTTGGGCCACTGTTGCAGTGATATAAGAAATCCCAGCAGGAGACTAGCGCCACCGTCGCCTCAGATCCTAATACACCGTTCTCCTAACTTTATCCACCCTGGAGATGGGCAGGAGAGTCTTTGTGGCAAGCGTCTGACTGGGAGGTTGGCTTAGCATCTGAGACCTGTCATATCGAAGTGTAATCTGTCCGTCCGTCTGTGCACATGGACTTTCTTTAGATTCGTACAGTTTTTGCTGTAATTTTTATGTCTGAGCTGTGGATTTACCGGATTCTGACGAGGAACGTCCTGTTTACCGCATTGAGGGTACGTTTTTGCCCTGGTTGAAGGCACAAGCCACTGACGAGAAGTTACGGATCTCAGACTCTGTTCAAATTGCGTATTCTGCCCAAAAGAATCTAATATCTGGTCCATGTGAAATGAAGAGATGTTGAATGAAATCGGCGTCTTGTCTCTTTTGGGGGAAGAAGTTGGGTTAGGTTAGTCTCATTGACATTTAACTCTTTTATCAAATAAATTATCATCTGGTTCGCATATTTTATAATTACGAATATATGAATAATCATGAACACCGAATGAGTAAGTAACTTAATATTTGTGACTTTGCTTCAGAAACTTTCTTCCTAACCTAACCTAAAAAATATTACGCTCATATCAACGTGTAGGTATTAAAGTGGTCGCCTTCTTTCGAATTTTGGAATACAAATTTTGTGTTCACTTCTCGTTTCTTCTGCGAGTGCTATGGACCTACGTTTCACTCCTACGCTCCGGTACGTGACGAGGTAATCACGTGCTTTGATTCGTATTCGGGAGGTCCCGGGTTCAACCTTCGGCCCAGAGACCGGTCATCCTGACTGGGGTTTTTCGTCGTTAAATAAACCACAAATAAATAAATAAATAAGATTAGGTTAGGGCACGAATTCCAGGTCTTCGTAACGATGAACCCGGACTTCCTTATAAATATGGTAAGAAAATAGAACATTTTTACTAATATATAATATTCTCACTGAAGAGAGAAATTATTTCTTGTGGTTAATTGCAGTGTAATGTCAAAAATAAATCAAGACGATGTTCGTGATTCACATTTGGAGCCGATCTCGAGGTTTCTTATCTATTCTTTTGCGTGGAATCAATTTTAGGATCCACGAGTATCAGTAAGCACGATGACGTAACGTCTCGTGTCTTATACCCGCGTCTGACTAACTCGTCAGGTGCAATCTTAAGAGACTTCGCCGTCCTGCCAATAGGCTAGAATCTAGTAGTCTCCAAAGTGGGGTGCACGTACCTCTGGGGGGTCGCGAGATAATTTCAATTTAATTTTGTTTTGTATTTAATTGTATTTGTGATTTTATGACGTGTTAATTATTTACTAATAAATATAATAAGAATTACACTTAAATATGTATTTATTTATTTATTCTGGGGGTGCGTGCTAGTTTTTTAATAAGTAGTGGTGCGAGACCAAAAATGTTTGGAGACCTCTGGGCTAGACATTGTACCCGTATTGTCTAATTCCTTCAAGTGGATTAAGTTTGTATAAACTACAAACAAGCGATTTACACTTTATGATATCAGCATATAACAAAATAACAAATAAAACTTCGTGAGCTTCAGAGACGTCTCTGGTTCAGCCATTTCCCATTTATTTATATTATGTTTTTAAGTTTCAGACACACGTGTAATTAGTTTCCGTTCCGTTCTTGTGACCTGTACTCCCTCTCTCTCTCCACTTCCTTCACATTTAATTGAATTCTCTTGTTCCGTGCTTAAATTAGAGTGTACAGAATTGGGCTAGTTCAGTGGTAAGACGTGGACAGAGACAAAACTAGAAATTAGAACTTCAAGAACCTTACTTGGATACGCATGGTTAGGCAAAACACTACTGAAAATACGTGACAGAGTGCAGGCCGATTACACAGTTGAAGAGATTACATCAAGAGACGGTAAGCAATTAGCATGGACTGGGCGGAAAAGTGGCCTAACGTACATGGAATTATTACCTTAAAGAAAAACCACACGTGGAAGACGACAAATATTTTAAGCCTACTCACACATTTGGTTCACTAATCGAACCACACAGAATCGTTAAGCGACATGATTCTTTCTGATCAATAAAATTGCAGATAACGCAACGAATGAATAATTATGATATCCTGATGGCATTTGTAGGCGATCGTCAGACGCCCGGCTGTTGCCAAGCTACCAGGAATGTTTGCCAGCTTCGTACACGAGGGGCTCTGGTTCGAGTCTAGATTACCACATCGGCTTTGGCGAGATAGGCTTTCAGTGTTTTCCTCAGTCCCTGCAGTGCTTAGCTAGTTCTTTAACATACAGCTTCGTTGCACGTTTTAATATCCAAAATTATTCTTTTAACGTCTCATTACATCACTTGTATTTACATTACTGCATTCCTTGAATGTAAAACTTCGTCACGTGACAGTAGAATGTGTAATAAGTCATAAAAATACATAGAAAACCTTTTAAACATATAAGGAGTCGTAAGACTTGAGGTTCTCACAGCGGTGAATATGAAGATTTCTGTCTTCTGGGTTATTGCGCTGTGTAGTCTGGTCGATGTTAACCAACGTTTCAGAGGTCATACTGCCTCCGTCATC